TCCCCAGCACAGGAGGGTGGGGGTGGGGGGTGGGGGCCAGCCCGCCAGCCCGAGCATTTCCCACTGTGGTCACAGGGATCGGACAACAAGCCACCAGGCTGCCAGTCGCATGTGGCTGGACAGGGCCTCCCTGCTAAGGGCCCTGGACATCAATGGGGCTCTGCTTACAGAGGCGAGATGGCCGGGCGGAGGGGGGAGGCCTGAGTCGATGTGTCCGCTCGGGGAGGAACTTGCATCTTAGAACAGTCCTCCTGTTAGGAATAGCACTGAGTTCCCCCTATTGAATGTAATAGGGTCCAACGCCCTATTAATGTTCTTCAGTGACTGTATGAAACCAGGAGGAGGAAAAAGAAGCCACCAGGCGTGAAATCGAAAGCAAGGCGGCCTGCACTCGCCGCAGGGGGGTCCCTGGGTCTGTGAGGTGCACCCCGCCCGCGGTGGCCCGTTAGCGAGACTTAAGTGAGCGGGAAACCCTTCCCCAGGCTGCTTTCCCCGGGGCCCACCCGCCATATGGTTCGCTCAGCTTTGCCTCTTTTCATCTGTTAGCCATTAGAATAAAGTAGCACCTTCCCGACCCTGCACCAGCGGCGTGCACAATGGTTTCTTGGGAGAGAAGTTTACTTAAGAGCCACCTGGGCGCCCGGAAGATGCGTGCTCGGTGCCGGGCACTCATGGTGCTGGGCCCCCTAGAGGAGGTGTTTTTATTTGATCCCATTTTATAGGTAATAAACTGAGGCCCAAAGCCAGGACCTGTCCCCCACTGAGCTGGCACGTGAACCCAGGAGCCGGACTTTTCAGAACAGTCTGTACGTTTCTCAAGTGAGGCTGCCTCGCCCGCCAGCCACAGGACCCGACCACCGTGAGGGTGAGGGACGCTCCTGCCGACTGCAGCCAGCAGCGCCCCAGCCACAAGGCAGAACGTGGGTGCCAATAAGGGTGAGAGGAAAGCCTGGCCTGTGTGGCTCAGTGGTTGAGCTTCGACCTATGAACCAGAAAGTCAGGGCTCCATTCCCGGTCGCGGCACATGCCCGGGTTGTGGGCTCAATCCCTAGTGTGGGGCGTGCAGGAGGCAGCCGATCCATGAGTCTCTCCCATCACTGATGTCTCTCTCTCTCTCTCTCTCTCCCTCTCCCTTCCTCTCTGAAATCAATACAAATATATTTAAAAAAACAACAAGAATTTCAACCTGCCTGCATCCCTGAAATCTTGTGGAAAGAGGATGGGAAGGAGGAATCACCGTTCTCACGCTGGCATAGCTTTGTAAGAAACAGAGAAGAAAGCCAATGGCAGGAGCAGGAAAGAACCGCAACACAGGCCTCTGAAGCAGCGGGCGGCGGGGAGAGAGGCGGCTAAACCACGACCGTCTCGACACGCGCACGCCCAGATCTGCCCCGTGAAACCAATTCGGCTCCCCTACAAAGGATTCTGAAAGATCCGCACTTCTTTTCTCAGAGTTGTTAATAGAAAATCCCAAGAAGAGATGAGTCAGGCACTGGGCCTTCAGAGCGCGCGGGGGACCCCGGCACCGGCGGCCTGTGACAGCCGCCGCGGCTTAGCCAGCAGGTTTCGGGGAATTCCACAGGATGTCTGTGCATTTCCGGGAGGAGAAGACAGAGAGGAGACTGTAGAGCGTAACAATCCCCCCGCCTCGAGGTGCTGAGGGCAACTCTCACGGTGGAGCAGCAGGGGTACGGAAAGGACCGTGCAAAATGGACCCTTCTTCCATCTGACTCTATTGAAAACACAGGGGAGCCGGCTGCTCACAGGAATTCAGGGACAGTTCAATGAAGTAACAGCACTGTAGGGCTGGCCTTTTAAGAACTGGGTATAACTTCTTTTCTCTTCTTATTTTAAAGATTCTCATCACAACATTCCTGACTTACATTAAAAAACGTTCACAAGCTGTTTTTAAATGGTTGGTTTACAGAAAAGCTGCGAAGGTTGTCAAGGCCTCCTCCTCCCTCATCCGGTCGCCCAGTGGTTAGCACCTCACATCACGCTGGCACTTTCGTTCAATTCATGGACCCGCACTGACACGTCACTACCAATGAACTCCGAACTTTATTCGGGGTCCCTACCTTTTCCCCAAGGTCCTTTTCTCTCCCGGCTATGGGGTGCCCGCCCCAGGCTACGGGGTGCCCGCTGCTCAGACCTCCCTGGTTCCCGGTGACCTTGGCCGTCCTGAGGGCTGAGCGAGGATCTTGTAGGATGCCCCTCAGCTGGGATTTGCCTGACGTTCTCCCTAATCAGACTGAGGTTCCCATCGTATCTTACCCTGTGAGCGCACTTACAGGCGTGGAGGGAAAGTAACACTGTCTGTCACGCTGATCATATGTTCTTTCAACAACGATTTAACTCTCCCAATGCATCCCACAGCCCAGGAGGGGCTGTGAACGCGTACAACTGGAGAGGTGAAGCAGAGGTGCGGGGAAAGCACAGGAAAGGCTAGACTCGCAGGGGTCCTCAAACTTTTTACACAGGGGGCCAGTTCACTGTCCCTCAGACCGTTGGAGGGCCGGACTATAGTTTAAAAAAAACTATGAACAAATTCCTATGCACACTGCACATATCTTATTTTGAAGTAAAAAAACAAAACGGGAACAAATACAATATTTGTATTTGCATGTGGCCCGCGGGCCGTAGTTTGAGGACCCCTGGGCTAGAGGAAAAACCGGACAACTACCTACTGGAAACAGCGGGAGAGATTGTCCCGAGGAATCGGAGAGGGACAGAGTGAATCGGGGAAGTCGTCTTAAAAAGCGCAAATCTCGCCTGGCCGGCATGGCCCAGTGGTTGAGGGTCGACCTAGGAACCAGGAGGTCACGGTCTGATTCCCGGTCAGGGCACATGCCGGGGTTGCGGGTTCGATCCCCAGTGTAGGGCGTGCCGATGAATGATTCCCTCTCGTCACTGATGTTTCTCTCTCTCTCTCCCTCTCCCTCTCTGAAATCACTGAAAATATATTTACCAAAAGAAAGCGCAAATCTCCATCAAGTCTAACACTGTTGATGCTCACAAACTGGCCGAGAGGAAGAAAGAGGCCTTTGCACATGGGGGATCACAGATCAGCAAAGGCAGGAGACGGGGGTGTCTAGAGAGGGGACTGGTCTAGAGCAACGGGAACCAGCCGTGGACAGCGGCCTTGGAGGAAGGTGATGCGTCCCTGGTCCCTCCCAAGCGGCCCTGAAGGATGCTCGCTGGGACGCTCGCCCGCTCGCCCGCACGCCGGGCCCCTCACCTTTCCCGTAGAAGAACTTGCGGTAGTAGTAGGCCCCGAGGTCAATGTGCTCGATGATGTAGCGCTTGACCTTCTCCCTGTGAATGGGCTGGTTCTCTCGGGGCACCTCCAGGACCGACACGCCCGCGTTCGTGCAGTGAGAGCTGAGGGAGGACTCGAAGGAGCAGTTCTCCCCGGAGCCGAGCGAGGACGAGCTGGCCCTGGACAGCGCGATCCTCCGGTCCCCCTCCCCGCCCGTCTCGTTCCTAAAGTGCGGGCAGCTCAGGACGAGGTCGTTGCTCTTCCCGTCGCCCTCGTCGGCGTCCAGGTTCTCTTTGGAGTTGAGGTCCTCCTTGCTGCCCAGCGGGGACTCACAGGTGCCCGTCGGGCCCGCGGGCGCCTGCGTCTGGGAGGCCGCGGAGGCCCCGGTGGTCATGTTCTTCCTTTTCCCCACGTTCGCCCGCGTGGCCATGGCTTCGTTGATGTTAAACAAAATGCTCTGGACGTCATAGTGTGCAAAACAGCGCTGGCAGCTCCAGGGACGGACGCCCCGCTCCGGACGGCCGTCGTCCAGGTCCGACGTGAACTTGAACGTCTCGTGTTCGCTTCTCACCGTTCGCAGCTTGCGGAAGAGGGACGTTTCCACCGACTCCGACTTCAACCTCCGCTTGAAAGGCTTGTCCCGGTCCCTGCCCCTGAGGAAGGCGCCGTCCACGTAATCGAATCCTGAGATGCGGACGAACTCTCCGCGGGAGATCTGCGCGGCGGCGTGGAGGCTGGGCGACACGCCCGGGTCGCAGGAGAAGAAGCCCGGGAACCCGAAAGGGGCTGCGGCCTTGTGGTCGTAATTCTCTACCCGGTACCCTCGGAGCATCGCGAAGAAGTTCTCCCCGGACAGGCCCTGCCGGTCGATGGAGGAGGTGCTCCCGTACTCCCGGTGCAGCGCCGCGCCCGTGTTGGGGTTCACCGCGTTCTGGTCTAAGACGTCCTCGGCGTCGATGTCGCTGATGGTGACGTCACTGTTGCTCCTCTGTCTTATGGGGTGAAGTCCCCTGTGCGGGGAGTGGACGAAGATGTCCCCGGCGGTGTACTTGGCCTCCGCAAAGTCCAGCTCCAGCTGGTCCTCGGGGTGACCGTCGCCCTGGCCGTTCTGCCCGTTGTGCACGACGGAGGCGACGCTGTCGTAGCTGCTCTGGGACTGGCCGCCCCACAGCGCCTTGCAGGCCAGCTCCTTGGGGCAGTCCTTCTTCGGAGGCCACTCCGACACCCTGGCCCGCACGCCCATCTTGGGCACCGCGGGGGTGCCGTTGGCCGGGCCGCCACTCTCACTGGCGTTGGAGACGCCGAAGGGAGCGGCGGGGGCCAGGCTCCCGTTGATGGCTTTGAACTTCCGAGCGAAGTAATCGTCGGACTGCATGGCTCTGGGCGGGTCCTTGAACTTGGCAGGGGCCCTGCCCAGTTTGTGCTTCTCTTCCTGCGGCTGCCGCGGGTCGCTCATGGCGGCGGGCAGAGCGCCGCGTCTCAGCGGGAAGATGGCCGCGGAGCCGGTCACATCGCTACGGGGCCTCGGCACGCAACGCAGAGACGAGGCTTCTCCTAGAGCCGCCCTTGCTCTTGCTCCCCAGAAGCAAACAGCATCCTCAGAGCGCGGTTTCTCCGGCCCCGACGTGCGTCTCAGGGATATTTTATACGGCCCCGCGCTTTTCAAAAGGATCCCTCAGACGTCCGGCCGGGAGTACTTCCTTCACCTGAATGACAGAACAGGAAATAGCGTTAACAATTACAGCTCAAGCTCAACGCGTGCTACATGCGGTTTCTCACCTGTCCTGCTCCCCGCCTCCCGCCCACCTCTGATTCCTCCGACGTCATGAAGTTGCGTCTCTCTGCCCCGCTGCCCATCGGCTCCTCCTGCGGGCACGCTGCCCGCACCGCCGACCTGGCTGATGGACGGCACAGCACATAGTCGGCAGGAGCGTCTCAGGGCCTGCCCGGGGCATCTGCAGCCCCAGCCGCCCCTGGACAGAGCTCGCCCTCTGCTCCCACAGCCCCTGTCTGCACCGACCAGCACAGTGTCCTCATCTTCTGAATGTCTAGTTTACCCAGCGGCCTCCTCCACGGCTAATTTCAAGCTCCGTTCCCCGGGAACTATGCCTTGCATCTCTGTGTCACGTTACCGACTGATGTAGCCTGGCTTAAACCAGGTCAGCAAGCAACATTTCAATCAGGTATCTTGAGAGTAAGGCGATGGGCGAGCAACTGCTAGAGTATTACCAGCGAGTCTTTGAGACGAGTGTTACAGTCAGTTACAACTGAGCCGCTGGTCAGGACTGCACCTGCAGCAACTGGACTGGAAAACCACAAAAGGCACCCATTATGAGCCCCATTCAAGAAAAAAAAACCTGCTAAAATTACATGGCAGACTTATCATAAAGCATAACTACCGTAAAAATGCTTCTTTTCCATATCACAGCCCATCAGCTCAAATACTAACGTGCACAATTGGGCAGGGAATAAAAAAGAGGAACCAGTCATCCCACAGTCACTGCCTCGGGGCCAGGGAGGTGAGGGAGGAGCTGAGGAGTGCTCCCCCGAAGGCCTGATCACCTGAAATGCACTCCCCATAAAATCCAGGTATATTCAGCCTGGTACTGAGTGAAGCCCTGGCTATATAACTATAAAACAATCCATTAACTCCCACTCGCCTCACAGCAGACGACTAAATATGAGACAGTTTGATAAGTGGGCTATTATTAAGTAACAATGGCCATAAATGGATATAGATGTTCAATAATAATCACACTGCTGACTGCTTTTGGCAGATTCGGACATGAAAATCAGTTCTTAGGCATTTATCACGGACCAAACATTGGAACAGTACCAAGGATAAATATTTGGGGGCGTGAGAATATTAAAAAAGAGCAAAATCCTCCTCCTTGGACTTTTATAACACAGGGGTAACCTATGACTTGTGAAAGAACATAAAGTATTTTCTTGGTGCCCTAGCTGGTTTGGCTCAGTGGCTAGAGCATCTGCCTGCGGACTGAAGGGTCCCAGGTTCTATTCCAGAGAGGAAGGGCGAGGGAGAGAGAGATAGAAACATCAGTGATGAGAGAGAATCATTGGTCGGCTGCAACATAAAGTATTTTCTTGGTGCCCTAGCTGGTTTGGCTCAGTGGCTAGAGCATCTGCCTGCGGACTGAAGGGTCCCAGGTTCTATTCCAGAGAGGAAGGGCGAGGGAGAGAGAGATAGAAACATCAGTGATGAGAGAGAATCATCGGTCGGCTGTCTCCTGCACGCCCCACACTGGGGATCGAGCCTGAAACCCGGGCATGTGCCCTGACCGGGAATGGAACCGTGACCTCCTGGTTCATAGGTCGATTGTCAACCACAGAGCCGTGGCGGCCGGGCTAATTGCTCATTTTTAAGTCAATTCGTTTATCAGTAAATATTCATTCATATATAAGAAAATGTTATAAAATTCATAAATCCGATTATTCAGCTAATATTTTTAGAACTTTTGATACAGAAAACAGAGAGGTAAACACGTTGCATACAGATCTCATTGGATCTTTACAATGACCTACTGAAGTAGGTATAATGGTTGCCATTTTACAGCTGGGAACTGAGGCCCAGGAGGAGAGTAACTCTGCCACGGTCTCACCTGGCAGGTGGCAGAGCCGGGAACCCTGCCGAAGGCCCAGGTGCAAAGACGCAGCTCTGCCTTCACGGTGCTCAGGGTATGGAGGTTAGTGACCAGCGAACAGGCTGCTGTAAGTGCGTGTATTTCTCCTACAGCAGATGGTCAGAAAAAGGTGCATATGACTAGGGGCCTAAATTAAGATACCTCAGGGCCCACGCTGAGGTTTGAGAAGAGCCCAATATGTGAACTGAGATCTGTCTACAAACACCGTTATTGCCTGGCCAATGTGGCTCAGTGGTTGAGCTTCGACCTCTGAACCAGGAGGTGACGGTTCCATTCCAGGGCACATGCCCAGGTTGTGGGCTCGATCCCTGGTAGGGGGCATACAGGAGACAGCCGATCCATGATTCTCTCTCATCCTTGATGTTTCTATCCCTCTCTCCCTCTCCCTTCCTCTCTGAAATCCACAGAAATATATATTTTTTAAAATGAGCAATTAAAATGAGTAAGATACATAACAGCTATCTGCAAAGAGCACAGTCATGTTTGGAAAATAAACTGTGGTAACTGCTGATGTATGTGAGAAGCAGAATGGCAACACAGAGCAGTAGTAACTGACTCGCAGCAGTTAAGCTGATTCTGCAGGAGGCCAACAGAAGCTTCCGGAAGGTGAAAGCGATGCCCAAAGCCATCACCTGGCAGGCGCTGCTCTCTTCCCGGCGAGGACTTCTATTTAGATTCTTTTAGGACCGTCACTGTATTATAATGAGATTATCATGGAGCTTGTAACTTTTCCGAGTGTCAATAAAAAACAGAAGCCCATTCCTGCTGGGAAGTCACTTTCGCGCATCCATCCATCCATCCATCCACTCGGGGGTCAAAAGCAGAATAAACGAGGAGCTGCTTTGTTTAATGGGATATTTTGATCGTGGAATTTCTCAAGTAGACAGAAGAGCAGCTGTGGGTACAGACTATTCCCAGGACACCCTCTAAACTAGAAAGAGATAAAAAGGGAGGGCCCTGCCCCCCATTCCCTCAGGAGATTATTAGTTCTATTTTTTAGCAACGTGGCCCTGAATTACAGATAACACAGTGGGAAGGCAAGCCTCCCAATTAATAATTTAAGCTGAGGCATTTGCGTCTTAGGAAAACTCAGCAAGAGGAAAAAAAAAGAATTTCTATGAAGCGCCAACCGACTGGGGCTGTACTTGTGTTGTTTTCATTTTAAAATCACAGGAAATAGGCTGTTCTATTATTTGGATGAAGGTGTGGTGACATCCGGTGACAGGGAAGGTTGGGACCTAAGCATTTTATAATAAAAAACCTGGTAGGCTCAGGGCCTATAAAGCAATCTCTTCGGGGCCACACAGGGTAGAATCCCCTTACTGGCTTCTCACTCACCCTATTGAGCACTAAATCCACAGCGAAAACACAAAACTAAAACCGATCAATAGTATTGAGAACGGAACTGAACATCCGCAGCCACTGCCTTCAATGAGCTCTTTGTGGAAACGCACCCAGTGAGCCCACAAGCCATCAAGTCGGAAGATGCTTCCTTTCTGCTCGGCACAAAGGCATGAAAGCGAACCTGCCAGCCCACACAACAGTCTGGTGTCTGATTTCTGAAAAATAGTAATTTTAGCAGCAAACACAGAACGAACCCCACTCACTCACCACGCACTCAAAGCCATCTCCGCATTGTTGGCGGGTTTATCGGAATTGCAGGGTGGCGACTTGTTGGGCAGCTTTATGGGGTTTATTATCTGATACAAAAACCTTTTCTGGGTCCAGTATTCAGTTCCACTCCGCACTGTACTGGATGCTGGGCCTGGGGAGCGTGAGCGATGAATGACAGAGCCTCCTAATCCGCACAGCTTAGCTGGCGAAGAGAGGCACCCGCATAGCAAGGAATGAAGAAACGGAGTTAAAGGAACAGGACTCCACCGTGACCAGCACATGATGAAAGTGGTCCGCGTGCGTGCGTGTGCCCACACGTGTACGCGCTCCAGGCTGCTGAGTCTGGGGATGGACTCCCTCGTGGCCAACAGGAGGCAAGAAAGCAGATCGTCAGAGGCCCGTGTACGACAGCGCAGGCCCTGGACAGAGGCAGGCGATGTGTCATTAGCAACGTGTGAAGCCGTATTTCACCCCCGACCTGGGACTTGGGAGAGGAGTGCTGGTTCCCGGACCTCAGCCTCAGTCTTACTGTGATGAGGCAGAAGCCCTCTGACCCCGACACTGGGGTGACCCAGACTGCTTTTCCTGTCTGCTCCCCTGTGGAACCAGAACTGGCATCCGGCTGGGGGAAGGAACCCCATTCACTGTGCCTGCATTCACAGTGCCCATTCGCAAGGCCCCAGGGGCAGGCAGGTCTGCCTGGCTATGTCCGAATCTGCAGTCCTGCCCCCTAGGAGTACGTATCTATTCCACAGATAAATGGAAAGACATCCCATGTTCATGGACTGGAAGACTTCGTGTTGTTAAGATCGCTCTACACAAAGCGATCTACAGACACAATGCAATCGCTACCAAAATCCCAATGACTCACTTTCCAAAAATAAAAAAACCCACCCTAAAATTCATAGACTTTCAAGGGACATCAACCAGTACAAACCATCTTGAAATCGAGGAATGAAGGTGGAAGTCTCTCACGGGATCTGGTTTCACAAGCTTCTACACCAGCGGTTCTCAACCTGTGGGTCGCGACCACTTTGGCGGTCGAACGACCCTTTCACAGGGGTCGCCTAAGACCATCCTGCAGATCAGATATTTACATGACGATTCATCACAGTAGCAGCATGACAGTGATGAAGTAGCCACGAAAATAATTGTATGGTTGGGTCACCACAGGAGGAACTATATTTAAAGGGCCAGAAGGTTGAGAACCACTGTTCTACACAGACCCAGTGATGAGAACAGTGTGGTTCTGGTCTAAAGAGACGTGCAGACCAGCCCGTTAGACGAGAGAATGAAATGCTCCTGCACGTGGTGAAATGATCCTCGACGTGGGCGCCAAGACTCTACGGCAGGGACAGGACAATCTTCTCAACAAACGGCACCGGGGCCACCGGGTACCCACACGGGAAGAATCGAGGTGGACCCTTCCC